GACTCCCACAAGTTATCCTCTGGCTGCTACATCATGCATGGCATGCGCCCTACCCCATCCTTACACACACAGAAATAATTTTTAAACAAAATTATGTCCTCTACTTAACAATGTCCTGTAAAAATATATACCTAAACTCTAGTCCCTTCCCTCCAACCAAAGCTTAAAACTATTTTTTATATAACAGAAATATTTAAAATAAGCATTGCTCCTATATTGCTTAAAAAAATACAAGCTAATAATTTAGGATACTAAAATAAAAAAATTTAAACATATAAAACACTAATATACATTATATACCCAGGATATGTTCAAATTGAAAGTTTAACTCTTAGGAGATGGAGGATGTTAGTCCCACACTCAAAGTCCTGGGTTCAATCCCCAGTTGATCAATAAATTCTTACAAAAATAAAGTTTTAGATATCAAAAGCACATGATAGTATGGTAGAAAAGCACCTAAACAGCTGTCTTGAAAGAACTCTTTTCTAATTATACACATTATTTCATAGTCTAGTGATTTATAAGAACTGAGTAGTGCTACAACTGATTTTACAGGAGGAAAAAAAATCTTCCTCAAAAGAATCATACAGTTTATGGTGTGGATGTGGACAGGTCTACATCTAAGCCTGTGTCAGATGGACTGTGAACACTCATTATTTAGAGGCATACTAGATGAAATCCTTTAAAAAAATAAGAACATTTCTCTTTCTCTCTCTCTCTCCACGACCCCCCCTTGTGTCTGTGTGTGTGTGTGCGCACACACGCATGAGTGGACATTTGCATGTGCCATAAGGCCTGTGAGGAAGTCAGACACAACTTGCAGCAATGAGTTGTCTTCCTCCACCATGTGGGTCCCTAGGATCGAATTCAGACAACCAGGCTTCTTAGCAACCAGTACCTTAACCCACTGAGCCATCCTGCCGGCCCAGACCACCCTTTTTTAAATAATCTTTTGGTATAAGCAGTATACATGTTTTATGAATCCAAATTTTTGTATCTTGAGTTTCTTAACAGAAGGTATATGAAAAAAAAAGAAGAAAAATGTTATTTGATAGCATTAATTATGGTAAAAATAGCTTAGTCATTTTCTTAATCTCCAAGCTTTGAGGAATAGCTCCCTTCTAGACAAGTATTTGTGCATATGAGCACGTCTTGGCCAATGCCCACAGCTTGTAACCTATTTTACTGAGGATTTTAATTAGGAAGATACATACACACAGTGGTTCTCTCTCTACTTCCATTTCATTTAGCTCTCCCACATTCTCACCCTGGAGGTTCCAGCTTCTTATCCATGAAGTGATTATGGTCTAGCCCTAACTCAGATTTGTAACAAAACAGGGATCCTTCGACCTATCATTGGCAAGAAGAGCCAATATACATCTTCCAGCCTAGTGAATTCTTTCACTTCACCTAAGAGATCTGCCGCAATGCCATATGGCGAGAGGTCTCCTTCCACAAACAATGCAAATAAATGAAAAATGACTTCAGTGCAGAAAATGGAAACCCAAGTCACTGCCCAGTGACTAACAACTGTATCCGCACTGACTACGTCAGTGCACAAACACTGCGCGGTGCCTTCAATAAGGAGTAGCTCTGAGGGTTTCTGCCTAATTGTTTCTAATTTTATCTGGTTACTGAATGTACTGATGATATATTGGCACCCCAACGTATCTCCAGATTATAACATTTATATAAAACTTGTAAGAGTGATCTGCATGATACCAAAACAATCATTAACTTGTAGCCTTGATTTTTCAGAAAAAGAAAGACATGAAGCTAATAAAAAAAAGAATCTGCGCTATTTTGAATGTTAACATATCAAAATGCAGCTCTGACAGCAACCATGCAACCATTTATAAATAAAACACAGCCTGCTGTTATTTTTCAGCCTGGCATTTCCTCTTTTTTGAGCTACTGGTCTCAAGACATATTTCTCTTCTTAAAAATAAAAAGTGTTTCCAAAGACAGAGAAGAAAAAAAAAGTCACAAAGTACATTTTTTTGTTACAAACTATACAAAAATCTGTCACTATTTGTGTTACAAGTCTACTCATCAATAAGGTGCTTTTTTTTTTTCAATGTACCACTCAAAAATCAATTATATCAACTCGTTTGTATAGAGGCGAGAGCACCTTTCATGCAGCTAGTATTAATGAGCAGACGTGACTATAGGATCTCCATCTGTTTCTCTGACAAAGCTGTGGCTTCTCTAGTCTCTCATTGAAATTCCATTAATCTGGTGTACCAAGGTCCAATGCGAAAATCAAAACTCCATCTAACCCTTTATCAGCTCTCAATAACCTACATGTGAACTCTGCCTGTTAGCACGCAGCAAGTTATGATTTTGCTATCCATCAGGCAGCTGGCCAATAAAAAAAGGAAGAGAAAAGAAAGAAACCAGGCAGTCTGGAAACAACATGTCTGGCAGGGTTTGAAGATTTTGTTTTTGTTTCTGTTTTCACCCTCATTCAGTTTGGACAGGGTGTCTGGACTTTGTGAGATTCTGCATTATTCTCCTTGCCTGTGATTTAATTGCTACCAGCAATCAAGTCGAAGCATCACTGAAGTGTGCTTGAATTTCATTAGAAGATATAACTTATGCTACTTTCCTACAGTACCTAATAAACCATAAAGAAACCAAAACACATATGGCTTGAGGGAATAACTGGAAAATTAGGTGGCCATTTGGGAACTGGGTGAACTTTTGAACCAGAGGAACAGAGAAAAAGAAGTATTAAAGGGAAAGGCAGACTTAGAATTCACAGAGATGTGCAGGTTTGACCTTTGCAATACCTTGAAAATTATATTAACTCTATGAAAAATACATTATCATGCTTAGAGTTTATAATCCATCAACATTCAGATACTGTTAGTGCCTGCCATAAGGTAAAAGTCAAAAGGACAAAAACCAACCTGACTTGACAAAGGCTAAACTAGTTACAGTTATTGTTAAATGCATTTTTGTAATTAACACATCATTAGACTGATAACAGTAAAGGAAATTATATTCCACAAATCAAAGAGAACACAGACCAAATCTGAGCTCCAAAGAGCAAACTAATGAGATGATATGTTGGAGTAAATGTCCAGTGACTGAAAATTAACCTACCATGTTCCAAGAAAATGTAAAGCTGCTACAATCCTATTACTAATATGTCAAAATGAATCATACATAATAAAAGTAGAATGTATAATCTGCTTAAGAACTGGTTAGGCACTAATAAATAAGCCCAGATATTTAACAAAAACTGGTGCTACATATGAGTATGCCATTAATTATCTTTAGTAAGTTTTTTCCATATCAATGTATTTCTTCTACACTTTGATTTTGGAAACACATGAAAATTTTTAAAATTTCTTTTACATGTATTTATTTATGGGAGTGGTACACACATGTACTATGGTACTCATGAGAAGGTCAGAGACTGACTTGCGGGAATTGGTTTTCTTTTCCAACCATGTGAGTTCTGGAGATAGAACTCAGGTCTTCAGGCTTATCAGCAAGCAGCTTGACCTGCTGAGCCATCTCATTTATTCTTAGGAAAGAAAACAATAATCATAAAAAATATTCTAGAGATTAATAACATTCACTTTTCCAAAACTCTTTAGACTATTTCTGGATTGTAACACCTAAATTATTTTTTTAAATATAAATGTTCTGTCTCTTTCTATGTGTATAGACACATACATATATACATACATGTATTTTACAGAGAAGCAAAACAAATAACTGTAATGAGTCCAAAAACAGTACAACTTAATAATTCATTATTTCACCTGAAAATATTATTTCATCAATTAAAAAATGCTTAAGATGGAGAAAGAACGAGTTATGCTTGGTTATGAATAGCAAGCATGGGTGAAGAGAAATGTGCATCTTTGTAAAAAACAGAAAATATTCTTCCCTTTGAAAGCAGAATTAAATGTTAAAGTTAATACAAAATGGATACGATTATATCACTGCTACACATTGGACAGAGTTCTGGGTGTAGAAAAAGGTTGTTTTGTTCTGAATCAGTGGTTAGAGTGTTCATCACTTATGCATGTACTTGCCTTATCCCTGTTCTGCAATAGACATAATTTTATACCTCATAAAAGCAATTTATGTTTCCAAAGGGAATGATCTGGATAACACAGAATGTGGAGTGTTCTGATGCAAGAAGCACATTTTCATTCAGCAACTGTACTTAGAGACGGAACTGCACAGTTTGATCATCATATGGTGGCAAAAGGCATCCTTCATTTCTGTGTCTGTGTGAAACTTTGAGTGGCGAAAATTAATACACATTGCTAAGACACTGGTATGCATTTTAATTTATAACTACAGATCATTCTAGAGTACAGATTCATTTGACTGGTTACCAAAACAGAGGCACTTGATGCACCCCCAAAATAAGATTCATAACTCTGGTAACAGTCCATAGATTTTTTTAAAAATCACTAAAATAGAAATAATAAACGCTTCACTAATTAAATACAATACACTTTACTATTCATGCATAATATAGGACAACTTTAAGCGCAATCAGAAAAATAAAAATGTGTGGTAAAAATGCATTTGATAAGAAAAAACCTGTCTCGATATGAGAAGGCAACGTAGAAATAATTAATTTAATATTTTATAAACTCATTTTGTATGAAGTTTTAAGAAAAAATACACCAAATATCTTGTTCATTATTTATACAATAAATAATACAAAAAATCATTAAGGAGCACAATCAAATATTAAGAAAGAATCTGATATTAAATTAACCAACAAACTGTTGTAAAAACCTTCCCATAATAACACCAGCACTTGCCTAAAAATTCTAGTAACAAGACTCTTGTTAGAACAACTACACACCTGGGAAGCCTCCCATGGACTGCTGGAGAGAGCTATTGCGTTCCTGAAAAGGTTCTGTTAAAGGTGAGGTGCCCCGAGCTGCACTTTCTGCTTTTGGATAAGCCCACTCCTTCTACCCCCGCCAGTTTTGTCCGAAAGTGCCAAGAATGTCACATACCATCAGATGGGCCATCATCATCTTTATCGTAGCGTTCCGAGGCTAAGGAAATAGTGTCTGCAGGTCCAGAAAAGGGATCGTCGTATTCATCCCCCTCCTCGGCATCACCTGTACATGAATCAGAGAAATGCCTTTATGATTTGCCCATTGAAAATAGTGGTACCCTGTCAAAAGAGGTCAGTTTTACCATTAAATTTAGTCACTGCAACAGGAAACAAACACACACACACATAACTTCTTGAAACCGTCTTGACCTTGGGACTAGATCCTTTAGGGCCACAAGAAAGCAGTTGTCTGCTGACCTTTTAAACTATTCACTAAGTCATTTGTATTATGATGCATATAAAATAAAGCCACACCTGGTCTTACATAATTCAAGAAGTTAAAAAAAAAAAACAGAAAAAAAATTAAACAAGACAAATAAAATAATAAAAACTGAGAAAATTTAAGTGATCCCCTTTATCTACTCAATAATTTGAAAAATTGTATTGAGAAATTGACTACACAAAGCCACATGAACACTGTTTTCATTAAAAGCCATGGGATTATATTAGATTAAAAATAGCTACATTTTCAGGAGCAGAAATTCATTAAGTTGAAAATGCTTTAACAGTCATATAACCCCTCTAAATTTAAACACAACCCTTTCTGTTTCACAGAGTATATATAAGCCACTAGTCTCACTGATGGGAGCCTGTTTCCTACTTGATTACAAATCCTAGGTTGGTTTGGTTAGGGGTTTGTTGATCTGTTTGCTTTACACATTTAATACCCATGATAAGAGCTTTTGGGTATTATCGCATGTACTTGGTTAAAATACTATTAAAAAATGATTTAGCTATTTGCTAAGTTGAATTATACACATTCATTTTTCTTCTGAATTCAGTAACACAGAAAAGCATATGCTTAATCGCATACTGTCTGATAACAATGTAAATTATGTTGTCAGTCGAAGGAAGTTTTGCCAAAGGAAGTGTGTATCCTCTGGCAACCGTCTGATGGCTGCTTCCTATTTTTCTGCACATACCATCTACATTTTGAGTAGAGGCTGCCTTTTTCAAGACAACATTGCCAGCATAATTTAATAACTAAATATTAACTTCTATTTCCTTATGATTTTGCTATTTCACGAACAACCGTTATTCTTACTCGCAAAAACATAAAAGATGGAGACATCCCTCATGAAGACAAGAGCTGAAGATAGGTGGCTATCTCACCACTCTTACCAATTCTGTTATTGATACACTAAATACAGTGATGTCTTCCCAATCAAAATTCCAAGGAATGCACATAAGATGCCACCAACCCTCCAGAATTCATCTTTCTCAGGACATTCAAAGCACTTTCCAGCACACTATAATGTCTCTCTTATGCAAGGTTCTGATTTCAAAAGGAGCCTCATCAAATGCTACTAAAATATTTAACATTTTGACAGTACAGGGAAAATACAGTAATGATCACAAAATTCTGTTACTTTTAGTTGCTAAAAGTAACTAATTTAATAAAGTAAGAACTGTTATAATAATAATTTTCTAAGGACACATCACAATTCACACTAAAAATCAAACCTTGCTAAAAATCTAAGGTATCAGGATACTTTACATACATAACCAGAACTTCGCATTCAGTGTATTAGCTGCTATAACTACAGGAAACAGTAAAGCTAAATAATACATTGAAATGAATTCAGATGCTCAGGCTTAATCCCCACACTCTATATGGAAATGTTCAGGTAACTTAAAACTTTAAAGTTTTGAAAATCAATAGTTTAACTTTTGATATGGCTATCATTTTAATGTATGTGACCTTATACACATGGGTTCATAGACTAATCTATATTGTATATATGTATATGCTACATATAACAACGATTATAATTGTTGATGTTATAAATGCTATAACATCAAGAACATTTGATATATAACAATTATTCTATAAAAATCTGTCACTGACATGCTTAAGATCTTTCTGGGTTTTTAAAAATACTTTGGGGATTATTATTAAAATGAAACTGTCTTCAATTTACCTATTACAAAAACTAAAATTGATTGAAAGAATGGATTTTTTTAAAAATCAGTGTCATATCTATATTTGATAAAGACAAACTGAACTAAATACTGCTACAGGACTGTTGACCTCCCTTCCCCAACACCACCTCTTGCTATAACCCTCTACTCCTAAAAACTGCTCCAAAGGTACGAGAATCTATACAGCATCTGTGCGGGGAGAATATCTTTTTAAAACCTGCATTAAATTGAAAAACATCACCACTTTTCAGCATGGCTTTATTGTAATGATGACCATCCCTTTGCCTTCCTCTAATTTTGTCCTCCAACCATTTCCTCATCCAATAGAGAGGAAAAGCTGTTCTCTTCTGAAGCTCTTTAAATGAACGCAGGGGTCGCTGTTGAGTAGCGTACAGCATCTTCACTCCCCAGGGCTCGCTATCTATAGCTATACCTGCAAAGGCTTCTATAAATTAAAAGAAAAACGCTCAATGTGTGTTTATGTAATAAAATACTGAACTCCGAATCAACAATGGGCATCAGGTAAAAGTATCCAATGCAATTTACAGACATAATTGAAAGCATTACAGACTAATCAGACATCTAAAAGAAAAGCATGCTCAAATGTAATGTCTGCAGAGTCATTAGCTGGCAGTCATTCTATTACAATCACACATAATGTCCGTGGTGCCTTGAGCCTGTGCCAATGACAACAGCATAAATTTTGCATCTCATTTCTGTGGTCATAAAATTAATGATCAGTTTAAAAATACTTCTTTGTAAAAGTTATTGCACAAAGAAAAGACATGAATGTGTCCCTGTTATGTACTCACAAGGATAATTATGGGGTTGTTGCTCATTAATACTGTTTCTTGTTTCCCTAGAAAAGCATTTGATTTATCCCACAACTTTCAAAAGTTTAATTAACGATACAAAGTTAACCGTCTAAAAGACAATGATCCAAGTCTTCCCATCCCAGCGTTTTAGTGGCAACTTCAAGGCTTAATTGTACCACAGTAGCATAGGTCCCTGATAACTATTTTGAAATTTATAATACTGTTAGCCAGCTCTTTTCACATGGCTTCTAATCAATTACCATTTTCTTAAATGCCTAGAGAGGCAGCCAACAGCGACTGCACAGTCATGATCACCACGGAAACATTCTGCCCAATGTACCGCTTATTCTGCCAAATAAAATCCCTCTTTAAATATAACCAGATAATTGGCCAAATATACCTAAGATTTAGAGTTTATTTTATATACATATTGAAATAACACTTGTACTCCATAAATATGTATAGCTGTTAAATTAAAGAAAATTATAACTAACATACAGGTTAGAGAATAATTGTTCCCTCAGCCTATCAAGGACAAAATTTAGAGAGATAACTCCAAGTGAAAAAAAATAATTTCTAATTATTGTTCATTTGACCAGTCTCACTCTTCCAGTAACAATATACAGCTAAGCATACAGATTTATGCATTTACCCTGTAATTTCTTAAGGGAAGTTTAGTTCTTAAAACACTGAATGACACAAGTAAGATTTTCCTCTCATTCTTGGAAAGGCCAACTTATATAGCCAAAAATAATAAACATAACTCACACCAGACTGAGGCAGAGATTCGAAATAAGGACATCATTTCTCTGGACTACCTTGGAAACAGGCTTCTACCATTACAGGCCCCATTATCTCCAACATGCTTTAACACAGTTGTACATGCGGAGGGAGGCAGCGGCGGAATGGAACTCCTCCAGTTTAATTTGCCTAGATTTCATTATGGAGTTAACTTTCAACTGAAAATATACTATGCTAGGGAATTAAAGCCAAACACTGACTCTTGCATTATTCTGAAGACTACATAGGATAAGCTAAAATGTTTCCCCTCTTACCTAACAATCTTGCTATTTTTAAAAAGTGCTCCATTAATAAGCTTAGGCAATACGAATGAGAAGGTCAAAGAAAATTGCTTTCTAAATAAATCTGTGCATATTTAACAATACTGATAGAGACATAAGGGCAAAATCTATTAATTTTTTTTTCATAATTAGTGGGAAAGAGATTCTAAAGGAGAAAGTGAGTGCAGCAGAGCTGTGGCACCTGAAACAACCATGTTTAAAAACTAGATGCTAGCCCAGCATCGTGGCTCTGGGTAAGGAGGTGCCTACTATGCTCAGCCCAGGAAGAGAAAGAGACAGGGAAGAAAAAAAAAAAAAAAACTAGACATTAATACCTACAAATTTGAAAAACACTCTCTTGAAATGGTGTCCCATTTAAAATCTATTTCATTTAATGACTCAGACATTTCTAAAAAACTTCTTTCAAAACTGAACTTCTGAATCAAGATTGATTTCAAATAAGTCATACTGGAGAACACACACTGGGCATTACTCAAGAGATCTACTATGTGTTCCATTGTCTTATTCCAATGAATCCAGAAAGGAAGTAATATCTAAATCATTATTGAGACTAATACAAGGTAAAGATTTAACTAAAGTAGAACTACTTTTCATGGACCTAATACATATTAGAAAATCCTAGCTAATGCTCAATTACTAATAGTCTTTACAAAAATAGTCAATGTAAACTGTGTGAACCCTAAAAATAACTATTTAAGCCACTTTAGAAGACCTGTGATGGAAGACAATTAAACATAATTATGTGTTATGAGGATGGTGGTGTATGTCTGTAATTCTAGCTCTTCCGAGGCACAGGCAGAGAAATTCTGAGCTAGTGGCTGGCCTGGGATACAAAGAAAGACTCTGTCTCAAAAAAAAAATTATTATTATTATTATTTTTTTAATCCTATAGCATATCCAGTGAGTAGAGACCTGGAGCCTACAGGACTGGGGTTCAGGAGAAGACTTGATAGTATCAGGACATACTGCAACTAAGATACTAGTGTGAGTTACCTGTCTTGCTAAGAGCGCCACAGTTACAGGGGCCTTTTTATTCTAGATGAACAGGCAATGTTTCTAATGAATAACAGGGACTATACAAGCAAACTGTGTTCCACCTAGATGCAAATCTTTCTTAATAAAAAAAATTAAGACATTTAGATAAACAACTGATAATTATTCTAAAGTTACAATTTGACAGACCTATTCAATGGGGAATATATGCTCAATTATATAAGGAAAACCTTAAAAAAATCAAACAAATGGGAAGAGAAGTTTTAAAACAATATCTTCCTTTGGAAATGAATATAAGTAATGAGAAAGCTAGTGGTAAGCCTCAACACTTAAAAGCCACTACAATAAAGCAAACTATTCTGAGCCAAAGTATAAACATCAAAGGAAATATTCTAAGGTATACACAACTTAAGATTGCAACTATGATATCAATTCGACTGATTTTAACGACTGATTTTAACAACTGAACACTTCAACCTGTAAAGTATGCTTTAGTAAATCCCATGATGGGAGATTTTCTGCAATGCAGGGAAAGAAATAAAGACAGGAAGTTAAGAAGGACATAGACATGTGTCAACATTACAGAAATTAGTAAGTATGAATGAGCAAATCTCAATTAATTCATTTTGCTTAAAAACTCTCTACCTCTTTCTCACAATAATGGCATTAAAATTCCCCTATTACTGACTTAACAGAGGATATGAAACCGAACACACAGGTGCGACCTGCTTCTGCTCACTTCATTGTGATCCTATGGTGACAAGACAGACGTGGTTGAGAAGGGCGGGAGGGAGAAGGGACGAAGCTGTGAACACAGGAAAATGACCCACATGTCCAGGGAAGCGGGAGACACAAACAGCAGCATCAAAACAAGCTAGAACAGAATTCATTCGGTGTGGAGATCTTTTAAAGATGCACGCTGTGTAATCCCTTTGTGACTATTAAGTCTATGTCCTTCACTGGTCCTAATAAGTTAGAAAACAGTCTTTTTAGAAGAGAGCTGGATATACTGTGAGGGTGTGATGGCATAAGATTACTCAGCTTCTCATATTTCTCCAAGGTATACATCTAATTCATCCAGCGGCTCACTCTGTGCCAGCGCTCTTGGTGATTAGTTAACTCAATACAGCGGTATTGAGCTGCAAATGACTAACTCGGAGGAAAATGATTATGGGGAAATCTCTGAATTCCACATTATTTGAACTCTTATTCTAGGCTCATTTTTCAATTTCTATCAACTACTATATAAACTTCCATATTCTTCAGAGACAAAGAATATGTCTCAGTAATGTAATTTTAATATCCACACACCTGAACAAGTTCTGAAACAGAATCCCAAAGGGAAAGGCCCTCCTCTACATGCAATTATAAAATGGCTTCCCATTATCATGCCTTCTCTGCTTAAAATTTTTTAATGCACGAATAATTAAGCCACAATGAGCATTCAATAAATAATCAGTGCAACGAAAATATGCCCTTTAAGCAACAGGTAAGAACTGCTGTCTGTGATGTCTTTACAAATAATGCACTGTATAAAAGAAAACCCATCATATCAAAATGTATAAACTCATTTCTGTATTCACTTCAGTAAATGCAACAGGATTAAGGCCACCGGTTAAGATTCCTTGTGGCACAAAACTCTAAGAATGAGGAAGGAGGAGACATTTTCCTGCTCTTATCTTTAGTTGTGTTTAAACATCTTAGTATGTCAAAACCTTTTTCTGGTAGACATGGATCACACCGATCCTAACAAGCAATTGTGAAAGCAACTGTGACTGCCTTGAAGCTGGGGGCCGAGGGGGAGTGAAGGGGAGGTGAGGGGCTGGCATGAGACTAAGAGCCTGAGTTCCTAAAGCTGTGGCTCTCCTCTCTCAGTCAGCTCAAATAGGGACCATTATTGGGACCCTGTAACAAGGTGCCACCGTTTTTTCTTACCCAGACTTTGAAACTGACTCCACAGATTCACAGACCTCACATTGCAATCTTCATACTAACACTCACAAACAGAAGGTCATGACCTGTGAATTAGCACCTTAGAAATAAAGGCAGTATGCAGGTCCTCTCAGAGAACTGAAAATACGAGGTATCTGGAACTTCCAGTGCTGAGCAACAATCCTCCGACCTAAAGGAGAACGTCACCTCACCAGCGCTGCCTCGTATTTCAAACACAGTGGAACCAAATTCCCATCTCTGCACGCATTCCCATCCAAAGCACACATTTATTCAAATCAAAAGAACCAAAATAAAAGTCAGCATTTGAACACATGTTATTCATGCTGTCAAATACAACACAGAACTGTTTGGACTCATCCTTTAAAAACATGACCTTAGGACTAGAGATACGGCTTAACAGCAGAATGCTCGGCCTACATGTGTGAATCCTGTGTGCCATCTCCAAACACATGAAGCCTGGCTACCCAGCTGAGGGTCACTGTACCCCGTAAAACAGTCTCTGTAGTGGGACAGCAATAGGCGGCAGCTCCCCTCTGCTTCATCCAAGCTCTCTGTGGAGCTGCAGGTACATGCCTGTACTGCCATTTCTACCACTGCAAACACAGATCCTCAGACTAGGAACTGTGTGGGAGTCTAGCTTCTTAATATTCCTCTCAGCAGGGGGAGCTAGCGCCCTCATCTTGAAGGTCTAAACACATAGTAAGGAAATTAAAATTCTGATTCCAGCTATACAATTTCAGAATATTAAGATTATCCTAGTGAAAATCTCCTCCAAAAGAAAATTGAGATTTAAAATTTACCTTTGTCTTGAAATTCCTGAAGATAGCTGCAAAAAAAAAAAAAAAAAAAAAAGCATTTAAATATGGTTGAAAAATCAGGGCAAGGTCTAATTAGTAGCAACAACTCAAACCGAGAATTTACACACACACACACACATCTAGAGAAAAAATTCTCTGTTCTGAAATGACAATTCCTAAAGGCTTAAGAATTCATAATACGCAGAATTAAGTATGAAAAAGAGAATTTTAAAAAGATCTAATAGTAGTCTATATCTTTAATATTTATAACACAGTACATTTATTTAATGTAGTAACCACTTAAAATTATTATTTTTCAAGGTCTGAGGCAATTTCCACATGGATATTAAAATCTTCAACTACGTCCTCAGACACCCAAAGTAAACACTTAGCATTCTGCTAGCATGCTTAGAAAAAATATATAACTATTAACAAAAAGGGTATCTGTATTTGAAACCATTATAGTGGAAATATATTCTGTCCTTTAAAAACGCTTACCATTAATAAATCAGAACATAAAACTTAATTCCATAATAAACATTAATTACAGAGTTATTTCCAAGTAAGAAATTAGTAATAAAAAGCAAGTGACTTACACAGACTTTACATCTTTTATCTTCTTAATGAGAGAGTCTCTCTTTTCCTTTGCTTTCTTGGATAAATTTTCCCCTTTCAGTGTATCTGCTACAAATGTTTCAACATCTAAACCATGAAATATAAAAAAAAAGATACAAATTATAGAAAAGAACCATTTTTGTGAAGACAAATAGGTCAATAATTGTTTCTACACTTAAGTTTTAATATCTGTGAAATCTATGGTAGTTATTTATCAGTCCAAAGCATAAGAAGTTTTAATATCTGTACAATCTATGGTAGTTATTTATCAGTCCAAAGCATAACAGTTGAAGTACATTTCAAAAACTACGTTGGACAAATCAGTTCACTACTTAGCTAATAAAATCTGCATGTTCTACTGAGGCTTAGCACAGCAAATGCTATTTTGATGCTTGGCATCATTAAACTAGGAAGAAGCACACAAGTTTTAATAAACTATAGTGCCCCATAAAACAAATTCTCTTCTATAAAGCAAGCAGAAAGCTTTTATGCAAGTGCTACTATCATTTTATAATTGTTTTTTAAGTTGTTATAAGAAGTCATTTGCAGTATTTTAAAAGACAAGCAAAAGTCAGTGACAAGAGCTTGTTTTCCCAGTGTAATCTATTTTCAGGAACACATGTATCTAATGCTTAAAGAAAAGAAAAGAAATTCCTTTTTTTTTTTTTTTGTCTAGCCAAGCTTCTTAAATCATAGCCTCCTCCTTGCTACCTGCCCCACCCACACTGGCTCCCCTCAAGTCAAAAGACAACCAGTTGTGGTGGTTGGTTATATGAGCCCTTGCTGCCCACCCTGCATCTAGCTACCTGGAACACTAGTTAAATAAAGAAGTGAAAAACGGTTCTTCCACTATTTGTCTAAGACACAGATTTCTATGGCTTCATAGAACAGTCCCCACTGTCTCCTTGAATTTTCTGTAAACTCCTAAATATTATGTTAGCTGATTCTACTGTAAAGTTGCTGGTTTGATTCCTAGACTTCCGATATTATTGTTCATAAAATATTGGATAACTTACACATACTTTATTTTCAGAATTTCGTGACTCACTTTAAAATATGTCTCAGGGAATTACATTAAAATTTTAAACATGACTACACAGCACCCATATTTCACACCAGAAAGATTGTGTCTTACTTTCTTTTAATCTAACTACTTTGTCTCCTAACTTACATTGATAAAAATGTCAAAGCATAGTATTACATATAAGTAATTTACTGTATTTACATTTACAGCTGTAGTTACATTTAACCATTTAAAATCTAAAATACAGAATAGGATGCAATCAATTTTAAATTCTTGACTACAAAATGTATTTTGTTCCAATGAGGGACAAGGATGAAGCTGTTACAGAGTCATAATAAGGACTTTTTTTTTTTTTTTTTTTTTTTTGGCTAAGCCAATACAAAAGAAAAAATAAAACATGAAACAATTAAAACATGAAACAATCTCTTAAATAACTTCTGGTTTGAAGCCCAATAAAAGCAAGTATCAAAATGAAATAAAAGCAAAATGTCCTGGTTCTTCTTTCCTTCTGTGGCCCCTACATTAAGGTGCAGAGAGGCAGAGTCAGAAGCCAGTGAATTCGGGACTACTCTTCAAGTGGGTTCCAAACAGAAAGCTTGAAGCAGCAGCTTCTGCCCACGGGAGCAGGCCGCCTGTGGACAAGCAGACTTGAGCTGGAAAGAGAAGATCACTGGCTTCCCTAGTATCTGCACAGAAACTTTTTTAAGTGGACCAAGGAGTGCAGCTCCTGCTGCTAGCTCTCCCGAACCGCTCTGGACTTACACATAGGCTGGTGAACAGGTCTGCTTAACGTTATTTCCACTCAGTGTGTGTCTTAATTGCCTATTTTACATTTTCATTATGCAATCCCAGTTTAAAAAAACAAGATCTATTTTCTGTCTCCGGGAGCAATCACAGAACGAATTACTGCCCAAAAGTTATTTCTTTAAAAGGTCATTTCAGTTTTATAAAAACTCAGAAAACAACAATAAAAAGGCTGCATGTTCTATGTGCTGTTTCCTAAAAGCCTCCTAATACGTCTTGAAAATGTGCACCCATGCCTCTATTTTAAGAGAGTGGGAGAAATCCGAATGTCTCAAGGAGAGGGCTGGCTATGAAAAACATCTGTACTCTCACAATAGTCTTTTTAAATATTTATCCCCAAGCTTTTTCCTAGAAAAAGGCTTAAAAGCAATTATGAGGATTTTTTTTTTTAAATAATTCTCCAAAAGGTAGCAGAGAAGAAACTGTTTTGTTGGGGGGGGGGGGGGGGGGGGGGTGTTAAACAAGAACTTCTAGCTGGGAAAAGCTGCAATAACCTGGTTTGTTGGTTGCCCACAGCCTTGGTTGGTATTTAAGCCTTTGAAGTCTAGGGTGTTTCTTAAAACACACACTGCGCCACATCTAACGGATGGAATACGGAGCTTGCCGACTTTGCTCCCCGGGGCTTTTGCCAGCTCCAGAGCGGCGAGCAGGGACCAGGCTGTCCCGCGGTGCCTACAGCCTTGCCCCCAGAAACCAGCCCAAACCCAGTTAGCCTTAAACCTCGGGTTCTTGTCCACGAAGCTACGAACAGAGAGCAGAGAGCCCAGTGCTGCTGAGCTTGGGGCAGCCACGCCAGACAAATGGGGCTGGATCTGCGGCTTTGTACCTCAAAGCCAGAGTAATATTTCAAAAGCCAGCAATAAAACCCTTGGGTAAATCAAGCGCTCCTCTGGCTGGTTGGAAAAGAGACTTGAAGCTTTTTATTGTGTTCTAAATAGCCCCGCAAATGGTGAGAGAGCCTGTCGGTGAGCTAGCAAGCCGCCGGAGCCGCTTTTACCTTCCTAGAGGGGTCGTGTCCTCCTGTTCATATGTAGATTTCGCTGACTCCTTTCCATAAATCGGGGAAACGTGGTAATTTAACCACAAGAAAAAGTCAGCCTGCGGAGGCTGGCCCCCGGGCCGAGAACTGAGAACCCCCTTTTCTCCAAAGCAGAAGTTTTATTTTACCCACGGGCGCCAGCCACGGAAAAGCGGGAGTGGGGAGTGCGGAGGCGGCCATTGGGCTCCTGCTAATAAGGCCTGGAAAAGAGGGTGCCACCTACACCACAAGCCGGCGGTGCCCCTTCTCTCCTCACCCTCCCGCAGCTGGAGGGCTGCAGGTCAGCACCACCAGCACCTAACAGCACAACCCACTTCCACGGGCCTCCAACCGCAATTTGGCAGCAGGAAAAAGTTATCTCAGCAAAAGTAAACATGGTACTAATTTTTGCTCCCGTTACACCTTAACTTTGTAAAGAGTAAGCCGTCCAGTGGGAACAGCTGTAAAAGTCTGGGGCAAGGCAGCTGAAAGATCAGATTTACAACTGCTTCCTACAGAAATGTTAAGGTCTGAGAACAAAATTTAAAGATGACGTGTTCTGGCTCAATAATCCTTGTGCAGTTACGTCAGAGACCACTCTCCAGACCTCTGACCCCTAAGACACAAGCACTTGAACACCCTAGCCACTGAATGGTACTTCCATACTTTTGTGTTTGCTTTTTTCTTCGTACATAGGAACCCCTAGAAAAACTGTCACCCTGCCTTCCTCTGGAGTGAGTGAGGACAGGTATCACAACACACACACACACTTTCTACCAACTTCTATGGAGAGCAAATAGTAAAAAGGTTCAAGAACAAAACTCTTCCGATGATAAACTCCTCCACTAGTCAGTGGGAGTCTAGCACCTGTTCTCAACAACCCCCAATAGGGATCAGCCTAGAACAAGACCTGCAGCCACTAAGGCAACTTCCCGCCTCTCTCCACACACATACCACCTCTGTGACGGCCTGACTCTGCCTGAAGGAGAAAGCAATAACTGGGATGAACCCACCACCATTTGCTAAGTCCTGGATCAACAAAATTAACACAGACTTGGCACCCCAAATGGCTTTAGTCCTTAATTCTGCATGTCTTCCTACCTTGTGGTGTGAACCAGATTTTACTTTGTTCACTGAGCTGTCTGTCATCCAGCTTAAAGTGTTAACTTAATGCCAACACTTTCAGCTGCCATCAGAACAGAATCACGCTCTTTTCTGTTACGATGGGGAATCGTCTGACCAAACAGCTACTGAGGAAAGTATAAAAATCAATTAAACTGGGCACATGCAGATCAATGGAGCCAAATACCTAAAGTTGGAAAATGGCTAATTGAAAAGTTATTGATTGTTCTGGTCAATGCCTTCCCCTGGATTACCTTGTGCTTTCCCATGTTACAGCTGAACTGTGGCCTTTTTAAACACGGGATAAGACATAAAGAATCAGATCACCAAGTGCCATGGGGGAAGCCTATCTGAGTTTTATAATCCAATCAGCTACAAAATTTTCAAAACTCGCTTTACAAGCTAAATGGTTTATTTTGATAAAAAGCTGAGCTGCTGGAAGATAAAGCTGGCTATCTTTCAACCTCTTTAGACTTATCTAATCAGAATCTTTTCCCCACACATTTTCAAAGACGCCACAGTGAGCAACACATTAGTCTAAGACCCACACTATATCCACCCACCGTTGGGTAGCGTCTATTGCAATGTGTTCAGAATGTGATTGAAAAAGAAATGTAAACTCAGTGAAATGAAAAAGAGAGACTTGGCTTTAATTGAAAAAGACAAACTAAATGAATAATGAGTATATAAAATCTAGCCTATGCCGCTTTTATCACCCATATATGACACTTAGTGTTCAATTTATGAGAGACAACTGAAGTGTATTTCAAATCCCCGGAGGCTCTGCCTCCTCTGGTGTCTTTACCTTCTTTCTCGAAGTACTTCAGGACAAATATCAGAGATAAACATACTTGGAAAGTTTACAGTCTGCTCATTTTTTTTTAGCACATTTAGATGTTTCAAAAGAAACTAATGTTGATTAAGATTAAATTAACTATTGAAAATGTGTATACCGTCAAGAGCCTTACTAAGTAATCCAAGGTGAAAATACTTTCAATGGAAAGCCATGCTAAAATAGCCCCCAACAAGGAAAAAAAAGGCAGTTAACTCTTAAGATGAATATATAAACCATCTTCCGAATGCTGCATCTTTGTTTACAGATACTATTTGACCCTGACAAAAATCTCTATCAACTTCTGGTCCCTTGATTTGCAAACTCATATCCCTATTTGTAGAAGACAGTATCTTAGAGATGCCATAGGCTGATTTCATTCTCAGAGCAAATGTTCTCCTATCATCTTTATACTGATTAGCTGCTGCTGCCAAACTGGGGCAGGCTTGTTCCTGCTCTGCCAGGTAACAAGAAGTAGGTGGCCACGGGTGACTCAGTAGGTGGCACTCTTCCCTCTGCATCCTCAGCCAGAAGGAGGGTGAAGAACACTAGATGTACCATAAATAATTCCCATAAGGAAAATAACCTAATTATAAACAGGAATTGGAAAGGTGAAAAACAAGCCCCACTGTACTTGGCATTGAAAAAAATCCTACCTCAGTTTCAACTGAATTGTATTCTTTATCAAGTGCCCCTAAAGGAATTATCGATTACACTATGTGAAGGTTTAAAAAAAAAAATGCTCTGGAAATCCCCAATAGGGGGGAAAAAAAGCATTATTTCTAATCAAAACTGCCATCTGAACAAAATCTCAAGGTCATTTTGCTGAAACCATATAGTCACTTTGTTATGGTTTGTTCAATTTGGTTTTATCTTTCACTGCACTAATAGCTATTTCCTTTTAACACTGGCTTTATTTTCTAATTTATTAAAAAGAAGGGAACACTTTCCTTTCAAATTTTGTTGCCATGATAAGAATGGATGGGAATGAGTCTGAATATCTGATTACAAACCACTAACAAACCTGTATTTAAAGGGTGATTAAACACGTGAAAGCAGCAAGCAGCACTTCCAGAACTGCTCACCTTCTTGCCTGCCATTGAGAATCCCATAAATCAAGGCCATTCTTGCTATTAGTCCTAGTCAAAATATTTGGGTATGGGGTAAGATTAAACGGCCAGGACTTGGGGCTATCCTTTGGCTTTAATTATCAAGGATAAACCTGTTCTTCCATTGTTTGGGGGGCAGGGTGTCAAAGGTTGATTAAACAAAATTTTATATGAACTGTTGTAAAAAAATAATTTAACAGTTCTTATTTTTTTAAAAATATAGACCTTCAATTTTTAGTATATTGATGCTATAGAAAACATAACTGTATTAACTATACTGTAATTATCTTCAAGGATATAATTATGAGTTAAAAGTGGTAATTTTATTTTTGTATTCCATACAGTGTTTTTAAAGAGCAAAGAAATGAGGAGACCAATATTAAAATGGTAGTTTACAGCTACCATAATCAAAAAGCAAAATAATGACAAAGACATGATTACCGAAAGAAAAAAAATGCATTCAAGCACCTATTTTTATGTCATACATGTATGACATAGCAAATACTTAACATGTCTGACATGTGATGACTTAGATAATGAGCATATGAAGCATAAAATGTCACTTTCTTCTGAAACCAAAGGATCTGAAACTCCTCTGAAGGTTGGTTCCTTACCTACTTCACAGTGTGCCAGCATTTTAAGAGCCTAAACTACCAGGATCAGCATCTTTTCTTCAATTTAAAAAGCAATTCACCAGGTAAGCTAGCAATATCTCTAAAATCCAAATCAATGCAACTGTATAATTCACTATAATTATACAATTCTAAATTGTATCATGTACTTTCACACAAAACCCTTGAGTGATGCAATCACCATCATGTATCCCAACAAGATTCAAGGATAGAATAACTGCTTAGAGCATCTAGTCTAAAGATGTTAATACACATAAAATCTTAACAACTTTCTTTGAATATTTAAAAGCTGTTTTAAACCATGAAGGAAGACTAGCTCACTTTTTACTATATGTCAGATCCATAAGCTAAAAAATCTTGTAAGAATAAAATGTAATGCAAACTTGTGATCAGCAAACAGTAATTGTGTTGATCTTTGTTTCTAATCCCTCCTGTATTTTATAAAGAGCTAATTTCAAACATTATGCTCGTTCAACCTGTGACCTAAAAGATGACAGAAGTACACAGAAAGTTAGCATTACCAGGTGAATGTGTAATTCTGACCTGGTTGCATTTTACAAGAGTGAGCTTCAGAAAATACTTGTAACCTGTGAGGGTGAAGAACGACAGCTCTCTACCCTACTAAGTTGGAAGTGTGACTGTGGATCCAGATGACAACCTGCCTACTAAAGAATCTGTCAAGCTTTAAAAGCTAAACAGAGGTTATTTTATTTTTTTCCATTAAAAAATATGGACCTACAATAACCTGAAAAAAAAAAAAAGATATTTCTAGAGTAAAACTTTTTTTTTTTCTGGTCTAGTTATTGAGATGCAATTGCACCCCACCTAATGTTAACTGTAGTGACACAAAACTGGCACTCCTGTCAGCCCTCCTATCAAAACACTGAATGTAAATCTGCAGTTCTTTCATCACTCTCTTAGTGAGCTCCATTAATGACAAGAAGCATTTCTCAGCATGACACAGCACACCACCTCCCTGCATGATGCTCTTACAAACACAGGTCTGCAGCCACACATGGAGTTGTATTTTTGATCATAGTCATGATGACAACAGCCCAACAGTTTTAACACTCACACTGTTGCAACACTTGCTATTTCAAATGTATGTTTTAGATGACACTGTTTTTAACAACCGAAATACACAACTTACAGCACAGGCATCTAGCAGAAACTTTTGAATTCACTGATCCATGATCCATATTGGAAGAAATATTTTAGAAAAAAATCAAACTAAAATTATTCCGTTTCCAAAATTCTAACATCTACAAGGCAAAGTTTATGATGTATCCAAGACCATCAAGATAGGTAAGACTTCTGCAACCCAAAAAAAAAAAAAAAAAAAAAGTATTTTCTACTTGTGCAGAACTATCGCGCTTTCCTTGATCCTCAGTGGAAACGCTCACCTCCATACCTTACTAATCTAACACCAGATTCGTAATAGCACCGGGGAACCACAGTTCAACTCCTAGAAGTTCCCATAAATGGGAATGTAAAACCGAAAAGGGGAAGATGAGGGTGCGAAGCTGAAGCTCTTTCATCACATGACACAGGAAGTAGGACTTTTAACACATCCTTCCTTTTTCACTTTAATAGTTACCGAGGGTGAAGAAATAGTGGCCATTTGAAAATCCGGCACCCATCAAAAATATAAACACGTTTGACCCGACTGTTCAAGAAAACGGGTGTTTTGGAAACGGTACCTTTTCACCTCCTAACTCCCAACAGCTGCGGCCCTACAAGCGTCTTTGCTAACACCTACACCCTTCCCGGCCTGACCACCCGGGAACTAGTGCTCGGACAACTCCCTCCGCACTTCTCACACACGCACTCATGAACATGTGCGTCCATCTCCCGCCCTCACATTCGAGTCTTCATAAAACACACAACTGTCCAGCGCCTCAGGGAGGATCTGAACACCTCGGCATACACGCCCACTCCCGGCACCCTGGACCCCCTACACGGCCCGCCCCCACGGCCCGCGGAGGATGAGGGCTGAGCGCGTCTGTCCCTGCCGGCTCGCCGTCCCCGCGCGCCCGCCCCCCAGCGTCCCCGCCCCCTTCCCGCTCTTTACCTGCCAACAGGTTCCTAATTTCCTCCGGGAGCGGGCCGGGAGCGGAGGTGCTGCTGGGGTTGGGCATGGTTGTGGCTTGGAGCTCGACTCACCCTAGGGCTTCCGGGTGAGCACCGTGGGGCTGCGGCTCCGGACACGGCCAGGCCGACACTCGCAACAAGGAAGTCACTGGCTCTTTAGCCAGCGGTCGCTGGACGGCCGGGCTCTGCCCTGCCCGCGAGAAAGGGGCGGAGCCATGGGCGAGGGGGCGGAGAGACCGGACTTGATGCCCGACTGCGCTTGCGTAGTCCCTGCCCTCCGTGTGTCCAAAGAAAGCGCCTCCGGGAAGACCACGCCCACACAGGGAGGGGAGCAGGAGGCGGGGCCGCAGAGAGACGAGAGCGGATTGGAGCCTTGTCACCTGACCGGGCCTTGAGGCCCCTCCGCGCCATTTTTGGTGCTGGTACCTCAGCCACGCCTCGCTCTTTCTCCAGGATTCCGGAAAATAAGGGCTCCGCAGAGTTTACACGCATTCCCGTTAAGGGGCTATCTGACTAGTGGTCGTTCCCACCGAGGCTTAAGCCCCTCGCCTGGTAACCCACCAGGAAGTTTCCACCACCGCCCCCCTGCTTGCATGCGCTTCTTTGTCTTAGGAAAGAAGGTAACAAAATCCCATTTTCCGCCCATCCTTCCGGACAGTCCCCGAGCTAAGACGGCGGAGCGTTCTGATTGGCCCTGGCATTACTTTCCTTCTTAGTGGTGGGGTGATTGATTTCCCTCGCTCTGATGGAAAAAGTTCTAGACAGTATCTTTCAGGGCATCAGGAAGCTAAGTAGGTACTACTGTCCACCTATACCGTTGTCCACCTTTAAGTATTTTTGAATTGCTAATGGTGATTAGAATAAAAGTATAAAAATCTGTCTTCTTCAATTTAATCAGCAAAGATTGAGTCTTTAAATCTTAAACTCTTAAAACCCCAAAAGACAAGTTCTGGCTCCTTTAGTCAAAAAATTGTGTGTGTGTGTGTGTGTGTGTGTGTGTGTGTGTGTGTGTAAATGATAATTACATTCAAGTGCCATTAACCTTTACAATCACTTAAAGCCTACTGTGTAGACATTATTTGTCATCAAAGAAAATGAAGCTACCAAAGCCACTGAAGAGTACAAAAAGAGGTTGATAGGAGCCTTCAGATAGGAACTGACAAGGTAAAACATTTCGAGTATCCTCTGTGTATTTCTTCTGGTAAAAATATGCTTAAGTTGCACCTTCCATCTTTTCGTTGGCTAGGCACATCATTTTCAAAATGACACATGAATATCACCTCACCTCCATTTCTCTTGTTAGAAACAGTGGCCATCATTTATTATTTCTCCTAGTGTTATAGGATCTGCTTAAAACCAACATAACTCAAACACCAGGTCAATGCAGAAATTTATTGTAATCAAGCAGCTCCTGATCGATCCAGGCAGCAGAACAGACTCAGGAATCCCAAACTGGATTATCACAGAATATTTAAACTTGCAAAACACAAGCATCTGTGCCAAATTATAGTTAAATTTTTCCACCAATCAGGACAGGAGTTGGTCCCTGGGCCTGGGAACATGAACTTGTTTGACCTGACAGCAAAATGGAGAAGTTGTCCTTGAGATGGCTGGATTCAGACAACTGTTTCTTTACAACAGAAGCTGTTCAGCTATTGGGAAATCCCCATCTCCACTAGATCCTGAGAACTTGAACTTAGTTCTTCTTCTCCCCTCACCCCCCCACCCCCACTCATGATTAAATGGAGCCTGAAAACAAAATGGCTGTACTTAAGACAAGTTTATTTTGCTTGTTGCCAACACTAGGTACTAATGTACTCTGAATGTTGTGTCCAGAGTACAACATTCAATCAAAATGTAAATTGCTTATTCCTGAACTCCCCAGGTTTCTTCTATTTTTTTATTTTATTTATTTTTTATTTTGTTTTTAAGGCAGGGTCTCACTATGTAGCTCTGGCTGTCCTAGAACTCATTATGTAGACCATGCTGAACTCACGGAAATCAACTTGCTTCTACAACATGAGTGCTGGGATTAATTACATGTGGCACTATGCCCAGCTTTCATTTCTTTTCTATTTTCCTCCAGCTTTCTTTAGAGCAATGTTCTTATACGTCAGCCTGCCTTAGAGTCATGTAAAGAAACTCCTAAGATGTAGGTCTAAAGCCCTACCCAAGAGATTCTGATTAAATGGAAAATGGTCTCTAATAAATAAATATAAGGTGTGTTGAGATTTGATTTTTGAAAATCATTTTGCTACAATTTCCTAATTACTACAGAGTAAAATTTGTAATAAGTATCATCCTTGGCTAGAATAATAGCTCTATTAATATTTCATCAAAAAAAAATGTTAGGGTTAGGGATAGCTCAGAGTATGTGCTTAGTGTGTACAATTCCCAGCACCAAGTGAATAAATACTTGAATTTTTCAGATAGTACTAATAAAAATGAGGACTCAAATGTATTATGACATTTATGTAATTCTCAAAGAGACAATACACTAATTTAAAAAGGGAAAAAAATGAGTATTTAGGTGCCCATGTCTTACAAAACAGCAAGACAAAAACTTAATATTTGAAGTAAAACATGCAAATGAATAACAAAAAAGATATTCCAAAATGGAATCCAAAGTCCCTACCCAGATGAGAAATGTGATAAATTATAAAAAGAATGATGAAAATTAGAATTCTTTTTTGTAGAGTTAAAAGTGAATTTCATTCTTCCAACTTGGAAGAATTAAAAACTGTTATTAAACTACAAAATTATCCACTTTTCTAAATAACAAAGAAGGTATTTCGTAGACAGTTTGTGTTAGGAAAAAAGTATTTCTCCTTTTACTGTATAATTCTCTGTCTTGTCATATTTTTAAGAGCCTCTAGATATCCCAATACTTTGTTGCCTTCAGATAGAACTGACCACATATATTTTTATTCTTGTGTCTTATTTATCTGTACTCTGCTCATTCCACAAAGGAATTGAAGTGATTTTCTCTGTATCAAATAGACAGCTCTCTAGAGTAGATCAAATGGACAGTGTCTACACTGCTCATTATGACAAGTCATTCTTGTTAGCAAGAGACAAGAAACTATTAAAGTTGCCTTAAAATGTATAGCATCTAGTAGTCCAAATCAAAAAGGCAATAACAGAAAATGGACTTTTTTATGAAACACACTTTCCCTATTTAGAAAACCATTCTCAGACACAGGTCCATGATGGATTTACTTAAGCAGTGCTTTGTATGTGCCATTATTTTTACTGTTTATTGTTAAAGTTACTGGATTGATTGTAAGATGGAAAGAGAAAAAAAAGAGAGGCTGAAAGAAATGGTTCCTTATTTCTCATAAGTATCATCCCTGGCTAAAACATTCTCAATGTTTCCAAAACAAAAACTAATAGAGAAATCAAATAATACTTTTCATGCTTTAGTTTTATTAGGGTAAAATAATAATAATAAATGAAGCTTTAAATATCAACCCTAAAGAGATTGAGGCCTTCATATCATTCCACAGAACAATACTAGACTCTAGGGACATCTCTTGATTTTTTTTCCTCAAAAATAGATCTTCCATTTCAAAGAAAACTAAAACTAACCCCCTTCTTATGACTTTCAAAATACATGTAGAGTGCTGATCAAGGACATGCCCACAGGCCTATATTTACAAAATTTAGATGTTCCGGGAGAAAAGCAGAAAGTAACCAAACACAATTTAATTTTTTTCCACTCATCTTCATTTTTGTTTAGCTTTCTTAGGCATAGAGAAGATTATCCTTAGACATAAAATCTGTTATTTATTTGTTCATAATAAAAGTTAACAGCTTTTATTACACAGCAATGATGGCCAAGAATCCATGAGCAGATTGGCATCATCTCAGCTTAGCATCTTCATGAGGCAGTCATTCACAGATTGACCATAGCTAAGAGGATTTGAGTGAAGAAAGCTCACCCATGGACTGCTGGCTGGCACCTGTCGTTCCTCTTTGGCCACCAGAAAAAAGGCCTTAGTTCTTGACAAGATGGGATTTTTTATTTTGTTTTGGTTTCTTTTTTATTCACTTTACATCTGGACCTTAGCCCCCTCTCTCCTTTCCTCCCGGTCCCACCCTCCCTCTTCCCCCTTCCCTACTCCTCAGAGAAGGGGAACTCCTCTCCACCCTCCCCTACCCTACCCCTACCTGAGCACCTCAAGTTGTATCAGGACTGAGCATATCCTCTTCCCCTGTGGTCTGGTGAGGCAGCCATGCAGGGGGAAGTGCTGGAAAAGCAAGCAACAGAGTCCATGTCAGAGACAACCCCCACTCTCCTTACCAGGGAACCCACATAAAGACCAAGCTGCCCATCAGCTACATCCATGTAGGGGGCCTATGTCTAGTCCATGCATGGTCCTTGGTTGGTGCTTCAGTCTCTGTAAGCTCTCCTGGGCCCTTGTTAGTTGACTCTGTTGGTCTTCTTGTAGAGCTCCTGTCCCCTCTGGACAGGAGCTTCTGTTCTTCCCCCACTTTTTCCACAAGTCTCCCTACACCCCACCCAATGTTTGGCTGTAAGTCTCAGCATCTGTTTCAATCCACTGCTGGGTAGGGCCTCAGAGGAGAGCTATGTTAGGCTCCTGTTTCCAAACATAGCAGAGTATCGTTAATACTGTGAGGGGCTGGCTTTCTCCTGCGGGGAGGTTCTCAGATGGGGCTAGGCATTAGTTCTATCTTTATCTGCTCTATCTTTATCCCTAAACATTTTGTAGGCAGGGTAAATTCTGGGTAGAAGTTTTTGTGGGTGGATTGGCGTTTCCTCCCTCCGCTGTGTAGTTAGAGGGTGGCCTCTTCTGCTAGGATTCTTAGCTAGAGTCACCCCGTATCCTGTGGAGGCCCACCGAGGTAGGATTTGCTGAAGGAGGTGGAGGCAGAATCAGGAGGATCGTGAGTCCGGGGGCAGCCTAGACAACATGGTTTTGTTGTTGTTTTTCAGGGCAGATGGGCACCCTTTCAATAAAGCAACTGGCTTTTCCAGAGCAAGTATTGAGAGATGAAGCAACCAAGACAGATTAGTACTCTTGTAAACTGAGCATATTAGACAAAAGAAATAATTGAGGTATTTGGTTCTAAGTTTAACCCATTACAAACTTTTAAACCTGCCTTTCAAGTCGTCTAGTAATGGCTTTTAAAGCGTATTTGGAAATGAAAATCTGTTTTCTTTCCTAACTTATCTTTATTTCCATTTGAAGTTTCTA